ACCTGCTTGCGTTTATTTGATATCAAATAAAATCTGAAAATCTTGTATTTCATATTCAGGGTGGTTTTCAATTTTTTTTTATTTCTACGTGAATTTAAATAGTTCGATAAGAAAGATATGAAATTTATTTATAAAAGAAATTTATACTTCTTCCTTTTTCTCAAATAATTTGATGAATTATTATGCGATTTATTAAGCTCAAACGAAATCAATAATGATATAATTATTTTCAATATTCTTTTTAATTTTGGAAAATCTTTTCGATATAATGTTTAGTATAATATATATCGAGAGAAGCACTTGGTTCAACGAAATATAGTCTGTATGACAAAGTGCAAAAGGGAAATGAAATGTACAGTAGAGAGGAATAAGGTGCAAAAGGGAAACAGATCGTGTATTGTCAGACATATTTCTCACCTGGTACGATACAAGTCAGGATACTATTATAAATAGCAGAATTATTACAAAGTCATCGCTATCATCTTCAATACCTGTAACATTTTTAAAAATAATTGTTCCTTAAATCATATTTTTTTGTACAGTATGTGAACAGTAATTGATCTGAAAGATATCCGAATTTTGAATAATCTGAAATGTGATAATCTAATAATCAATGTGAAAATTATTTGTATCTAAAGCAATCTATCTAGAAGAATCTACGATTATATTACTATATTGCTATATTACTATATTTTGCTCCACATATGATCCTTTTAAAATAAGTTATTGCTTTAAAAAAAGGGTGTTAATGTAAGTTCGAAAGGATTTAATAGTACAATTTATGACATTTATATGTAATTTAATTTAACAATGATATAACGAAAAGGATAGATTTGCTATGTGATAAGAGATAAATAAAATAACATATTACAGATGGAATAATAATATTTATAATTCACGTTTGGTGACTCTACGTTCGTTTCTTTCTTGACAGTTCCTCCAAACATCCTGGACTATTCAACGAGTACGGATATGGTGGTGGCTGAAGGTAGTAAAGTGACTTTGCACTGCGAAGCGACAGGATCACCGGAACCTAGTATCATCTGGCGTCGCGAGGATAACCAGTTAATACTCTTGCCGAACGGAGAGGAAGGTGAGTTTAATCCTTATCAGAAGTTATGCCATTTTTACTAACTCGGAAAATGTATTTAGAAAATTGTTCGCAGAGATAAAAGTTCATGTAAAATATCTTCTATTAATCTGTCCCCTCCTTTATTTTAATCAACTACTATATATGTACAAAGAGGAAATGATCTTCAAAATTCCTTTTAATTTTTATATTTTAATTTTAACATTTCATTTTTGATCAATTTTAATATTAACGATAAATATGTATATACTGCTGGAATCTGCAGACAGTTCTCCAAACCCGCCTATAGAAATTTTTATATAATTCCTACAATTTTCACTCTTTTGTACTGGAAAAAATTGCGAGTATTCTTCAAATATGAATAAATGAGACTACGGAACCCTCGTATTAAAATATCTAATGGTTCCCTTGAGAAAAATTCCCAAAGTAGTCCTTCTTTTTGGCCCAGATTGTAAAAAAAGATTTCAAAATTGGAAATCGAAATTTATATTATGGATTACACTTATTTTCAAACCATATATAATGTACTGAGGGTTTAAGTGCATATTTTGTGTGACATAGCTTAAAATAGTCTAGAAAATGCAGAGTGGCATTACCACCCAGAGACTAATAGATTAATACAATACCTTGCGACACGTTTACTATAATTTACGATAATTTACACTGTATAGTTCGATTTAAAAATTTCATGCACATCATGAAACATTCTCATTTCTTCATTGATACAGTTTGAAAACACTCGATTCACGTATTTGTCGAAACAAAATAAATAAATAAAAACAAATCATTCGGAACTTCACCCGGGAATAATACCTCGAAAATGAAAATATGTGATACAGATATGGCATTTCCCCTTGCAATCATGGAAGTACCCACGTCAGAAGCATATATAAGTTTCAGCTTGCGGTCTCACGTCGAAACTATAACAAAACAGATTTGCACAGTGATCTCGGGTCACCTGGAAGCATAAACAGACTCATCAACAGACAGTCTATTGTACTTTCACAACGGTCCATTCGTCATTGGAGGAGTTTCAATTTCTGCACGCAAATTTAAGATTGCGGAGTGTCGAAAGCCACGGAAGCATATTCGCCAGATTCGTCGTAACCGAGTCTTGTAGTCCCCGGAGAATGCACACACACCGCGTTCGAGCAAGGCCAATAGGTTAGAGGCCGGTGATACGTTTGCATAGGTGGGAAAGATCTGCTATATTTGCATTGAAATTGGCAAACACCGACAGGGTGCCGTGCGTACCGAGTTTCACGTGGTTGCCTCCTGCATCCGACTGCAATGAAACATTGGATAGGTTATGACTGGTGTTTATTTGAACGTGACCACCTCGTCCGTGACATAATTCCGTTTTTCGAGTCGTGGATTATCGATAAATCGTTCCTTCATGTTCGAAACACGTATGAAATCGGTGCAAATCGGCCGAAAAGAGTAATTTTGTTTCAGATTTTTTAGTTTTTGTCGATAACTTTGCGTGATTGCCTCTTGCGTCCGACTGTTGTGAAATATTGGATAGGGTATGATTGGTGTTTATTTAAATATCGTCACGTTGTCTGTGACGTAAATAATTTTATTTCTCGAGTCGTGAGTCGTTGAGGTTGGGAATTTGAAGTGAAATTATGGAAATTTCTGGTTTGGTTTGTAGATTGTAGATGTTGTGATGTATGATAAGCAGTAATAATTGAAACATAACGAGGTTCAAAAATTATCCTTGTGAATTTCATTGATATTTCAAGAGGCAGAGATTACCTGTCATTTGAATCGGTGTATGTCTCTTTTATTATAATTCTGGCAATATATTGTTTCTTGTAATACCGATTTCACGATGATGTGAGTCTTACTTCAAACTGTTAGAATACGTTATTATTTAAAAACTCAAAACGTTTTTGATAGAAATCCCTTAGTAATTGTGTACATCTGTTTAATTTAATTGTATCAATTTAATTATTATCGATTAGTGTTTTTACGACAAATAAAAATTATTGAAACATTTACTCGTTCCTTGCTTGTCACTATAATTCTTGCTAGTTCATTTTAACGATTGTATAAACTGAATCCAACCATTCAGAAGGGAAAAGAAAATATAAATTATTCCATTGAAAGAACGATAAATATCATATATACCTCATCTTAAAGTCTTCCTTTAATTGAGTAAAAATGAACGCTAATCGTATATTATTTATCCAATTCGAAAGTAAAGCAGAGAAAATTAGGGCATAGTGAAACAGTGAGGCAAACTGTATATAATTCTGTGCCAATTACTAATATATCATATATTATAATATATCAATTACTACCAGTAGTAATAGATATATTGCAAAAGAAAGCTGTTATTATTTAGGAGACTATTTGTTTAATGAAATCTTCTAAGCTATTTATTAAACGACTTTATCTGATATCTCTTAAATTCTTTATTAAAAATTTTGTAATTTTGAACACGAAATAACGCCTTATATTTACATATGATTTCTTCTTAGTTTATTAATCAGAATACGTGCAATAATACTCAATTAGCTTTACTTCAATATATAAGCCATCATGACCTATAATTTCTGTATGAAATTCGTGCATGTTCCTATGTGTATACGGGATAAAATGAAAATGATGGAGGGAAATTTAAAATCGAATTTAATTAATATATTAACCTGCACAGTGTTCTCTTAAAATCTTGTCCAATTTTTCGCAGGTTATTAACGTTCCCGTGTCCCTAATATACCATATTTTAATTCCTTTTTAATTTTTAATATTCCTTTAATTAGAGTCTTTCATAGCCCAATATTTTTCAAGCACTGTTTATAACATACATTTTATATACTCATATTAATTTAGTCTATGACGTATATGTCCTTCTTTGTCTAAATTTTTACATAAATTTAATAAATAAAATAATTAAAATCCATGAAATATTGAAATTCATTAAAATTTAAATTAATTCTAGATACGCTAAAATTAGAATTAACATAGGTACAAAAATAAAAACCACTTACATTTGTGCATCATCCCCAAGTAAATAGAAACATGGAAAAGCAAACTTTAAACCTACCTATTCCTCAGATACAATTTTTAAAATATATTTTTACATATTAAGTAAATATACTATCAAATACATTTCTATATTACCATACAAAACACATTTATCTTCCATCTCCCTGGTTGTAATATTTAATTAAATCCCGTGCTGCCTGCTTAAATATTTACTCGAATTCCCACCACAAAATTTTGTTTGACACGTTCGTTTAACCGATAAAACGTCCTAAAAGTGCAAACCACGTGGTCGTTTAATTGCTCGATCCTCTTCTCCAGAAAAATAATGAAGGGGTGGTAACCTGTTACTCGTTAGGTTTTGCGCGGTTTTCGTTCTTTCCTATTTGACATCGTTCAGTTTGTTAGCCAGGCGCAAATATTCCAGTAGATTTAATTGTGGTTAACGGACGGACGTAGACTACCCCGACTTCCGGATAAGTAAAACAAATTTGTCGTTCTGTAGCTACGAAAGACAAAACCAAAACTGCGTTAGGACGGCTGCTTGTTGCCTGTAAATTTCCGTTTCGCCTTTAACCATACGAACGAAAAATTCTATTTAATTCTTGCACACAACACTAATATTTTCCGTATTGCTTGGGTTTCGATTACCATTCTACAAGAAAAATATTTGCCTTGGACAATTGTAAAAAAAAATGGATACAAATATCAACATTAAATAAACTTTCCTGTCTGGGGAATAACGTGGGGAATAACGTGTGTTTGGCGTGCTGTGTATTATGATTCGCGAAATTTGTATGTGTATATGAATATAAATAAAAATCTATGAATTTTTCTTAAATCTTTTCAGTATGATTAAATTTCGATTTATTTGAGAATAATATTTATTAATAATTCATAAAATTAATAATTCAGAAAAATATTTCCTAGGTTTCTAGTATTTAGTTTTACACAGATAATACAAATATGATTTTTCAAACTTTAAATTTCCTCGAATAAACTATAAATTATTTGAAGGATTTGCTATTTATTATTTATAAATCTATACTATTTTATATAATTAGTAAACTCGTTACAATTGTCGATGTAAAACAATTCTATTGTCTCGAATAAAAATTAATTACATTCTAGATGCTGTGGGAAGAAAAATGAAAAAAGAAACTGTGACTTCAAAAATTTTGTTAAAATTGGGGAGAAAATTTGTGAACTCAGCTGTGCTCTTGATTACTTTCCAAAGCAAATTATAGGAGAAAATTTCGACGCAAGTTTCATCGTATTGCAGATAGCAATACCAGGAAATATACTGATGCTGAAAAAGTTGTTCGAGCCCATTTCAAAAACTTCACTGCTCGTATACCAAACTGTCTGAAAGTGTAACTTCACTGAAACTTCCGGAAAAAAGGAAACAAAAAAAGAGAAGAACATACGTTCAGGATGCTTCAACGAGCTGTATCACGCCACTCTGCATGTCAAATCCGTTTAATCGAAAATGTGCTACACAAATATTAATTTCAGGGAGAGATAACGATATTATGCACGTTTCTTCTTTTCCATATAATGTAAAAATATTGAACAATGAACATATACTTGTTGAAACAAAGTGAAATTATTATTAAAATTATTTAGAGAACATAATCAGTTTTAATAACTGTTTGAAGCAATCATATTATCGAAACCCACCTTTCTGGAGAGGAAAATAAAAATGAATCATATATATTCTCAAAAAATTGTACAATTTAACCGAATGCAAATGAGAAAAATCGATGTTCGTAAATTGAATTAATTTCTCGAAATTTCCTTCTTTATACAACATTTTTCTAAAACTCAAACCCTTGTAATTATTAATATATTTCCAAAGTACGAAGCTGCAGGTAATTCGAAATTCGCAATACAGCAGCGAGTGTCGAATTTTCTGATATTCAAATCCTTACAATAATCAACTGATTTCCGAAATAGCAAATTTTAATCAACGTCGAACTTCACATTGCAGCCACGAGTATCGAAGGGCCAAATTTCAATATCTCCAAAGTGAATCGACTACACATGGGCTTTTACCTCTGCATCGCGTCCAATGGCGTGCCACCGTCAGTCAGTAAAAGAATAATGCTCACTGTCCAGTGTAAGTACACTCAAATATTTTCCAAGTATTCCTCTTCTCTTGTCCACTTTTCCCGTTATACGAACGGAAAAATTCCTGAAAATTTCTCTCCCAGAGATTCGTTCCTCGAACGTTGTTCGTTACCGTGACTCTAGAAATCACTTTTACTCGAATTTCACATCATTACCGGTCCCCGATGATAAAATGCAGAAACTAAGCGGACACGGGAAAGGCAAACGTTTATTTACGCGGTGAGAAAATTTGTCTTTCTTCTTCCAGTTCCGCCCATGATTTGGGTGCAGAATCAATTGGTGGGCGCTCAGGAGGGACAGCCGTTGACTCTGGAGTGCCTCTCCGAAGCTTATCCCAAATCCATCAATTATTGGACAAGGGATAAGGACGAAATAGTTCCACAAGGTAGGTTAAAACAATGATTCACTGTTTTCCCATCGGGTATACAGCAATTATCCATGCAAAACTTCGAGTCCACGTAGTCACTCCAACAGCCATCGTTGTTTTACGCTTCTACCATCGCTTGGACCGGGTCTAACCTAGCCAAGGTGTAATTACGCGTTCGCCCTTCTTGCACGTGGCTCATTCCTAAGGAAGAAGAGTAACCGACTGTAACGAGCCCTTTAAATAACGCAAGACTCATGCCGAACGCGTAAGCACGCGTAGAACGAAGCGCGAGTATAAACGTTCAGCTCCGCTTTATGCCTGGTCTATAAAAGCCAGCTTTAGTACTTTCTATCGACCCGCCAGGCTTCCTTTCAGATCCCGTATTTTCCACGTATCAGGATCTCTGCTCGTTTAGTGGTTCGCGTCAAATACATTTTGACATGTACCACCGACCCATCCTTCTCCAACCCTGATGTCTAAGGTCATGGTGCGTCAGCAGCCTCCGCAGGCTAGCCGGAATTTACCTTCTTTCAATCGCTGCTTCCGCGGCTGGATGCTCTATCGATCTTGCGCGATCACTGCTTTTAGGTAGGCATCGTTCAGTGGTATCGAACCTCTCGCGTTTTTCCTAGTTTCGAATATTTCGAGTGGTTGCAACGAAGTCCTGGAATTGTTGTATTGGAATTTTGGCATTCGTGGAAGTTCGATGATCTTCGTGTTATAGAATGGGATAAAGGTTATGGGAGTAGGGATTTTTGATCGTTTGTGGATATATTGTGGTTTACATTGTGGATTTATAGGAATATATAGATAAATAGATAATTGATAATCGATATAAAAGAGGATATGTAACTGAGCTATTCGTTTATCATATCCACAAAACGAAATTAATAAAACGAAAGCAGGAGTTCATTTTAAATATATGAAGTTATAATTATTACAATAAGTATATAAGAGTATTATGATTATATAAAGGAATATAAAATTATATTAACAATACATAAAGTTGTAGCATGTTTATACCTAAAATAAATTTCTACTTTTTGTTTTATGGAGTTAATGAACACAATTAATTGGGATATAACGTAATCTACTTACATTTAACTATTCAAATGTTAGTAAATCTAAGTGAGGGTATGAATCGCGTGTTTCGTCACTAAATCTAAAAAGGTTCTAAAAATTCATCTATTTAAAACCTTCCTACGTTCAAATACTTTTGTTTCTATGGGATGAACAAATAAAAGACTAATTTCTTCGTATTTAAAAATTTGCTTCACTTCGAAAAATGGATTTAAATTACTTCAACATACGAATGTCTTTATTATAGCTACTTCTTACCGTGAAATCTATACCCCTTACAAATAACTCTCTACGAACCAAGTGCAATTTCCCAGTTCTTTGAATGATCCTTTGTAGCACCAGAATCGATTTGAAAATCTCCTCACTGAATGACACGTCTATTGAAGAAGTGAATCGGCTGCCTAATACGTTTATCTGACTGATACATCACGTGTGGGTCCAAATGTTTCGTCAGATTTACCTTTCAGCCGGTTATTCGAACAGAATTAGCTTTTGAATAATACATGCGAATTCAAGCAGGACGTTAAAGGTATAACATGGTTTTATCTGGCATTTATGAGGAGAGTGGAGAATGCGTGTATGTATATGAAGATCGAAACGACAGAGTCTGGCCTTTTCTCCTGTCGTTATTACGTTGCCAGCCTCGTTGATATTTGCATCTGTATCGAAAGCAATAATAGAACGTACTATGTGAATTTTGATCCTACAATCGGGTTACTACACGATTTTCATCGCCGTTCCATCGATGCATCATATTTTTCATTGCACGTTTGAAAAGATTCTTCGACAGCCCAGAAGAAAAATTGAGATGTCCAAGGATAATTATTTTGATTCATTAGATATTGGTACTAACGAGATTTGAATAATTCCTTTCTTCATTAAATTTCTACCACTGCATCCAATTATGAAAGGATAATTTGTGCGAATATCTCCTTTCCTTCTTTTTCAACTAAGAGTGGAATTATAGAATTTTCCTTAATGAATGTAAATTAATATTTGTACGTCGAAACATCAGTTTTGAATTACTCCATTAAAACTTTTCGTAAATCTTAGTCATCCATTTCTATTTACATAAAAATTATAAATGCGGAGTATTAATAATTTAGAGGAGAACTTATTACGTTTTAACTCGTATAATATCTTTGTGATATACAAGTAAATAATTCAATTTTTATTCCATTGAAGTACTAGTAGTTTTCATGAATTTTTCTTGGATTTCTTAAATAATCGCGTAACTTACAGAAATTCAATTTTTATTTTTCCATCTTATTCGTGGGGAGTTATATAGGAATGGTCATAAAACAATGAACAGAAATAATTTGGAAATAAATGAAGGTTTAAAGAATTTCAAACACAATTGTACTTTTAATACTGCCGTGTCTGTCAAATTCCTTTATAAAATATTTTTCACGTGCAATAAATTTTCATCGATATGCACAGCACTTTTGCTAATAACAAGACTTTTATAACTTTCGAGAGTTATAAAGGCATATAAACATTTTTCGTATCTCATAATTATCTACTCGAATTTAGCTAATAAATTCGCTATTTTCTGTCTCCAATTTGTATCATGGGATTCTGAGAATATAAATGTTTTCTGTTTTAAACATTTTTCCGAATTTTTAAATATGAAATAGAGGATGTTTTATTCCGTCTTATTCGTTTCGTCTCCTTATCATCATTTGATTGTTTTTGAACATATGCAATATCCTTATAAACGTTGGAAATCCGATGTAATGTTATTTTATATTTAATTGTCGCTGAAATTCAATTAAAATTTAATTTTAATTAAAATTATAAAAATTCTTTTCTACTTTCTGTACTTGTTTCTGTTCCCATATATACAACTTTTATCCACATTTCTTACATAATATTCTTCTAAAATTTCATTAATTTATGCCGTAGAAAACGAGAAAAACGATAATAATACCTTCTCCCTTCCATATTAATTTCTACCCCTTACTATAACATTTTTATTCACATCTCCTTCCATATTTCTTTCCATCTTCTCATCAAATTTTCCAACAATTTTCGACATTAATATCAGAGGAACTAACGGTACTTAAATAATTAAACAAAAGCATATTTAATCCCATCTCCCTTAATACCAAATTTCTGTTCATATCTCATTACATAACTTTGCCCGGGAATTTCACAAACCAATTGCAACATCAATGGAGGAAGCTTAACAATACCCTGACAAATCCAACGAGAGCAACAATAATAACCATTGCTTAACGCAAAACGTTCAAACAATTGCTCGTCAATCGTACTCGTGTCACGGAAAGTACAATCGAGCGTTCTCCAAAAATGATTGCTCGCATTATCATGGCGATTCTAGAACCCGGGTCTGTCCAGCTCGATAAACATAAAATGTATTCAACAACGAGATCTCAAAGGCAAAATATTTTTATCGATTGCACCGACTTTCTGGGTCTTTTCAACCCGCGATCCCGCTCTCCTTTCATTATTTCGCTTTGCATCCACGTAGCCTTTCTGTCCGCAGAAGATAGCTACCATCGTTCGATAGAATCTCGAATCTTGTTGGTCGGAGAACGGAAAATGTCTGTGAATGGTGTCGATCTAAACAGAAATCACGTTAACTTAGACCGCCGCGCGACGAATACTAAAATAAGCCATACATGGGAACAAGCAGGGCCCATCTTTCAAACTGATTGAACCATTGTGACGTTTCTTTCGAAAAGAAGCCGGAATTCTCGCGCTAGTTCCATAGGCTGCACGTCCGTTTCCGTCTGAAACGGTCAGCAAGGCGTTATTTATTATCCATCGGGTCGATCGCCACGGGTTATCACCGTTTCGTGAAACGACGTGCTTACGATCGGCATTTTTGTTAAAAATGAAACTGCAGTCGTTACGATTAAGGAACGTTGACTTCCAGGCGAATTTTATGTCTCTTGGTCACAGCGTCGAAGCGTACTGGATTTTTTAACTCGGGTGTCTTACGACACGTCGATAATATCGGTTATGCCAATGTAATTTTGGCATTTGATGCTTGTACGATGGTTAAAGTTGCATGGAAATTTTACGCAAAAAAATTGGGAAATGAAACGACACGGTTACCGGTGATCTTTCGGTTAAGAATTAAATTGCAGACGTCAGGAGTAAGACATATTGACTTCCATTAGCGAATTTACCGTTTTTGAGATGTCTGTCTTATAATTGGAATTTTATAAAAATATTTTATGAAGAAGTTGGAAGTGAAATTCTCGCTGGTGACACGTTTGTTAAAAATTATATTATAAATGTGGACTTTTATTTGCAAATTTTGCCTGTATTATGATTAAAGTTAAAAATTTCATAACAACGGTTCATGCAGAAGTTATAGAAGGAAAATTCACTATCGAAATTTATGTTAGAAATTACAATATAGACGGTGCGCTTCAGAGACATTATTTTCTCAGAAAATTTGGTACACTTTGCTCATAACTACAAATTGCAGTCGTTTTTCATCGTCATAATGCGGAATGTATTACCCTATTTTGACATTTGAAATACCAGTGTCATGATTAAAATTTCATAAAATTGTTCTGTGCAGAATTTGGGCAGTAAAATGATGTTCTTACGATCGACATTGTCAAAAATGAAACTGCAACCATTACGACTGAAAAATAAAATTTCAGAATTGCAATCATATTTCATCACGATAATGCATAGAGTTTTATTTGGCTTTATTATCTGAAATATATCTGTCGCGAATAAAATTTCACAAAAATGTGTATTATAGAATAAACGAAAAGTATTATGAATGTCAGTGTGTGATAACAATAATTTTCTTCTAACGAGAATGGTTAGTATCATATGAAAAATAATCCTGCATTTTTCTAAATGATATGACACGATTTTTTTTTCTCTGAGTAATAACAACTTTGAAAAGCAATTCAAGAGAATTACGATCAATTAGATATGAAAGCAGAAACTTTGAAAACGTGAATTTTCATTTCGATGTGGAAGTTAATTTGTAAAAAGATTTGAATAGTTCATTGACAATGTGCAAAAATATATTTGATTAATAAAATCTGCAAATTAATCTTCGTGATTTTAAGCCTAGACAATTATATCTATTTAATTCCAGTTAAGTTTTGCTTCATGCGTCGTTTGTGTCCTCCATTTTGACGTTTGTATGCGAAACTGACATTGCAAGCAGCAGTATTACAGGACAGTGCATTCACTAAGATGATTCGCACAAGACTGATAAGGTTAAACACCAACAATGTCGAGACAAGCAAGCATTAAATCAACTAGTTTCTCGTGTAATATCGTAATTTGTTAATCAAGTCATCGTAGAAAGATAAAAAGTTTTTAAAAAGTTTAACGAATTTTAACTCCCTTGATAGTTCTTTTGTTAATTTAATTGTTACGTTATAAAATCGTGAAGAAATATGTACAAATAGTAATCAGAAATATCTTTTCTCGTTATTCTACCAAATTTTCCAGAATCGGAAAGGATAAATGTTTTATTCCATATCTTTCCATGTAACCAAATGGGCAGTTTAAAAAGAAAAGAAGATGCTTTTAATTATATCCAGACGACATCGACTGACGGACGAAAGCGCAGAGCGTACAACATTCGCCATTCCAAAAAATAAGATTTTAATTATTGAAAATTCCCACATCGATCCAAGATAGTATATGTAGTGGTAGCAAGTTTGTGGATTTCGAGAAATACGTCTAACTAAAATTTCTAGAATTTTATTTCATTTAATAAAATTTAATTTAATTTTACTTGAGAATTCCTAAAATTCTATTTTTCTCTTTTTAATACAGTGTAAATTGATACACTAAGAGTATCAATTTTATGATAGCAGCACTTTTAATATAACGATGTGATTTCAGTATCAATTAATATCGCCGCCCATTTATAAATTAATGAAGTAACCATTTCTTTTTTTCAGGAGGTAAATACGAACCTATACTACAAGACAATGCGTACAAAGTTCACATGAAGTTAACAATAAGTTCTGTCAATGCGTCGGATTTTGGATCGTACAAGTGCGTTTCCAGAAATGCATTAGGGGACACTGATGGTACCATCGAAGTTTATCGTAAGTTATTTATATATTTATTTACCACAATTTATATACTTTAGAAATTGGAAAAATCTCACCCCTATCAAATTTTGATCTGCTTCATATAACTAGAACTCGATTCACCCTATACATTTTTAAATTTATCTTGGGAAATAGATTAAAATATCTTATTACCGAATTACTAAATGTTTCAAAATATTTAAACGAAAGTACATAGCAATATCGGAATACGTAGTGGATGTACTAAAATAACTTAGTAATATGCTAAATGGCCTGTAATATCCAAGTATTAAATGTATCATAATATTTAAACTGACAATGAGATAGCTATGGGAATATCGAAATATTTCAGGAATATACTAGAATTTCCAAGATATCAGATTATACCGGAATAAAAATTTCGAAAAGATTCTACGGGCTAATGTCGATTTAGTAATTTTCCCTACCTAGACGATTATCTCTATGCACAGGAAGATGAGCGGATGGTCTCATCTTGTTAAAACAACCATGCTTCCGGAAGCTCATCGAAAATTACTTCCTAGTTAAGGCTTTTGTTAAAGCCTTTAAATACCGCGTGAAACAAAGCTCTGTCGGGTTGGAAAATTTTATCAGAATGGTCTTTACGAGGTTCTAACACACTCCTTTCAAGGAAATGATTACACCACGTTGATTACTCCGCGATGACATCGTGATAATAAAAATACATTTTTACTTGAACATACGCCTTGGAGTAAAGTTATTCCGTGATTCAAATACGGGGAATTTTACGTCTCACATTTTAGAATACAAAATGTAATAGAGAGTCATTGAAAAGTATTATTGTTGGAAAGTTTCTGGTGAAAATGAATTTTACATTCAAAGTGGTTAATACGAAAGTTCAGTTGCCAGTTCTAGAGCAGGTAAATATTCCAATGAAAAACTTGCGATTTATTTTATTGCCAGTCGTTATCTTGAAAACTATGCTGCGCCAAGTGTACGTTTACCGAAAGTGTTTGCGCGTGTAAACTTTCTGCCGTAATGTGGAGAGTAACAAGGAGTTAGAATCTTTGGAAGTTAAAACACGGGTAAACAGCCGTGGCAGCTCGAATTTGTTAAAAATAAACTGCTTCGGCGCCATATTTTCCTTTAGTTACGATTTAACAGTTTCCAACATGTCCGTAAGAACGTTTAGAGGCTTCCAACTATGATAAAACCGAAATTATTTTCTCATTGTTTATTTAGGTTTATCGTAAAGGTACCTATGAAGATAATTTTGATAATTATTACGTCTTAGATTATTAGAATCCGAATAGCGTAATAAATAGTTCTATAATTAAATAATTTTATGTATCTGAGAACGTAATCGATATGTAGCTTAGTTTAGTTGCATGTATACTTTAACACGCAGTTAAAGTATGTTACTGTAATACACATTTCTTTATGTTTCAGCGATAAGGACTTCGAATTCAAACGGTAGTAACACGAGCTATAAAGGTAAGTTTTTATTTACATATTAAAACATTTCGTGTAAAATGATAGCAATTTATAAACCACTGAAGTAATAATATTTAAGTTATTTCTTTACAGACACGTAGAATTAATTGTAGATACGTGTAAAACATTGTTGCATGTATGGTATGTTCAAAATTATTTTTGTCGCAATTTTTCACAATTCAGAAAAATTTTATTGGTTTAAATCAATTCGTCCGAAGGAAATTGCGTTCAGTATGCAACACAACGAATATGCATTCAATTTTTTTATTTATTAATTATTCCATCTATTAACAAGCATTAAGCATATCATACATTACTGTAGTTATGCCTTTAAATCAGGAAGAGATCATCGGTAATCCGAATAGTAGGTTAGGGAGTAGAATTAATTTCCAGCGGTGTTAATGCATTAATTCGTGTATAATTAGGATGAAACACTTTGAAATACAAATGGAACCTCTTACGAGGGTTATGAGGTTTACAACAGCTTCCATTATTATGGAAATTTAAATAAATTTATATTCCTAAAGCTTTCAAAGGAATATTATTACCTCTTTCTACGGTTACAGAAATTTAATTCAATTTTTAATTGGCCTGATATAAATTTGTATGAAATGAAATTTCATATTCTACCTTAATTTGTGATAATAGAAAATTAAACAGTTAGGTATTAGTATTACGTGAAATATAATTACTTGAAAATTCCAATTATTTAATGACTTCAATTTAAGAGCTAACAATAAAATATTCCTATTTAGAATAATCTTTTCCATTTGTCTGAAAATACGAAAAACAAGGTAACCTAAATATAAACATCTTGCCAAACTACAGTCTCACGATCGTGAAACTCGACAAGTACTACACACTGCCCCTTAGAGACCAATTTTCCCGCATAATAACTTTCCGCCAATCATCGCCAATTAATAAACCCAAAAATCATTACGGATCCTTCCATCCGTAATCTCCCAATTAAATCACCCACCGAGAACAAGGAGCGAGCAACCCTCTATTCCGTCATGGAGTTTCGCCGCCATTTCGCAGCTGCTATTCTCTTCACGCCTGACTCTTCGTCACAGCATACGTTCTCCAAACAAAATAACAATTTCCTACCGCAAAATTTAACACTTGGCGGATTTAACGATCGTCAAATTCCCTCGTTACCCCGTTTTTCGCTTCTCTCTGCGCCTCTTCAACCCTCAGAAACTTCCATCCAGATCGTCCGCGGTGTGCTTTATTTTTTATGCTCGCAACGCGAGCCAGGAATCGGGCAAACACGTTCGGCTTATGCTATTGCTCGCTTTGTACCTAGTGGTACTTTACGAATGATGCAGCGTAACGTACTTGCGATGAAATAACGGGTCGCTGATTAATTAGATCGAGTGTCTGGTTTGTGCATGCCAATCCACTCAGCGGATATTCCCTTGAATCGCGACCTCTACAAAAGCTAGACAACACCGGTCCCTTGCCTTTCATCCACCTGCACTGTCAAAGCTTATTTCGACTCCCTGCCCAACTTCTCGGATAATTGTGTGTCGCTTTCGAAAATAAAATTGCCTTTTCTCTTATGGCCGATCGGGGACACAGTCGTCCGTGTAATGCGGATCGAATCGATGAGGATTAGTTTAGCGGGCTAATAACCAGTCGGAAATGGATCCAACTTCGTCGACTTCGTTATTGCCTTTACCATGCAGCATTGTCACGCTTTGCTGATTTTCTCCTCGCGTTTATTTCCTTTTACCCCTTGTTTTTTTATTTCTCTCCTCTTTTCGCGTGTCAATGAGCTAGGTGACTTGGTCAGGTTTTCTTTTTCGACGTCGTTTGACGTTGATCGAATGTTTGCGGAAGCAGGAAGGTATCAAAGGGATTCGGCTATCGGATTTTCTTCGCGCAATGTTAAATGTACGCTGACAGGTTCATTTGATGGAGTATTGCACTTTTCGTGCAAATATAATATATTTTTTTCTCCGAGTTTCTTTCAGAGAGTCGAAATCCTTTGATGTACCTGGGTTCGTATAGTAAACTCAATTTAGAATTGCCAGTCAGCTGGATCATTTTTCCTTTGTATTATCTTAGATCGGGTAATTTGATTCTTAGATAGGAGGAGAATTGCAATACTTATCGTATGTTATTGTTTCAATTTATTTTTTAACCGGGTAGAGTCAAAGGTTGAATCATCCAGCAAGAATGGATTAAAAGTATGAATATTATTTAAGTAGGAGATTATTCAGCTCATGCATTCAATTGTCAAAATTACCGAAAACTACTCAGAGTTCCAAAGTATTATTGAAATTCTATATGTCTGTGTAAAAAGTTGGAGTAACAGAGAATCTCATGAAATATTGAAGTTAATACTGAGCAGAACCTAATCCAGTCAGAGACATTCTAGTATTACAGCTCTGAAGCGTACTAATCTTTGTCCTCTGTTCATCTTCTGACACTAATTCACACCCAGTGTAGGTAACCATCTGTCAATCCCCTGTAAGTAGATCCATTATTCCAAGAGTCAGTTCCTCTATCTGGAGTTCATATCCCTGAATTTCTAAGATTATGACGTTCCTATAACTACATGGAGCAAGAGAAGTCGTATCCTGAAGTTGTCGTTTACGTTTAACCCTTCCCCTTGGCATGATCCATTTAAAGCACATGCAAGATGACTAGAAGCTATAATCCTGAAAAATAGTAATTGGTCCAATCCTCGTCGCAAACTTTAAAATAAATCTCTATCTCAAAACGTTCAGCGACAATTGATAATAAAATTCATCCGTAAACGGAAACATGTTCTAATCGTGTTGTTTTCCTCTAACATGCTGGCAAATAAAATTTCAAGGGAAATTATATCACATCTATTCCTACTGAACTGAGACCAACTGTTGTTCTTCCAGTCATGAACTAGTTGAAAGAACAAAGGATGGCTGAAACTGATAATCCTCGGCAATAGCAAGTGGTCATGTCCACGTCGCGAATTCTAAAATAGGTCTTTTATCCCAGTGCACTCGATGATAATTGATAATAAAGTACATCAAATGACGAAAGTATGTTTCGATCAGGCTGAATCTCTCTATCCTGACGTCGAATGAAAGAAATTATTCGACCACTAACGTCTGTCGATCGACGGCTGTTTGTCAGTTAGCCATCGCGTTACTATGCTTTGTCGATTTGCGGTAAACTAATCGATATTTTTATATCCATCCAACATGCACTCCAACAGCAGCACCTCCGATATCGATTTTGCTAACCGTCTGTGTACCCGATGTCAGTATCCTTCGTCGCCGTATAAAACGTACCAGTATCCTCTGTGTAAATTGAATTGGCCCGCTTAAGGCTATCGAAGGATAAATCCCACAATATCGTTTGGTCACTCTATCACTGTACCCCGTGTTTTTCCTTCCCGTGGTTTCTAGACTCTATTGTTTGCTTTAAAGCCGCAAAGCAGAAATTTACAGACACACGTATTTCGCTTCAAACCGTACCGCAACATTTCAACCTGGCAAAAGCAGATCGTCGAGATATCGTGCAAGTATGATATATGGGCGTTTCTTTGATCGGTGAATAATGTGGTGAATGGAAAAGCGTGAGGAATAAACTTTACCCGGAAATATAAAAATTTGCCAAGTATTCGTGGAATTCGATATCGTTTGAAAAACTATTCGTGCGATATTTGGAAAATCTGCCTTGCGTCGCAATTCATTCGCGTGGTATTTAGAAGAATGCTATTTTGTTTCGGAATTTATTCGTATGAGATTTAAAAGATTCTGAAATTCTATTTTGTTTGATAAATTTTACGTGATGTTTGTAACAATTCTCTCTCGCTTGAAAATTTATTCCCATAGCATTTGGAAAGATCCTAAAATTCTACGCCGTTCCGCGAATTATTTATATAATATTTACAAAAATTCTATTTTGCCTTCAAATTTGTTCATATATTATCCGGGAAGTTTTAAAATTCTATTTTGTTTCACAAATTGTTCTTACGATATTTAAACAACTTCGGATCCATTTCGAATTTACTCATGTGCCATTTTAAAGATTCTATGCTGTTAAAAGTTTAGTCGCATGGCATTTAAAAGAATTGCATTCTCTAAATAATTATAGCAAAAATAATTATGATGTGCACAAAAATTTATCTATTTCGAATTCGATACTTAGCGTGGGGCTCGTTGAAATATACAGACACGCTGACAGAATTGGATTCTTTTTCCACACGAAGTCGGTAGAATTCTATACGTGTAACTTGACTGTTTAAAGTCTTTCGAAGGACAGTTCAGATTCAACGTGATTACGACGCTCGTTTTTCAAGTCGAGACGGAAGCATTTCTGTGTGAAATCGTGAATGAATAGGAACCGCCGTGTCAGATTTACAAGCCTACCATCTCATTTGCTTTCGACAGGCAGCCGGTTGCGAAAAAGACGTACAAAAGTCGATAGAACCCGTTTCAGAGAAGCTAGACGTTTAGAAGAACGCCTGTATAAAAAGCCACGGTTGAATGCCATTTTGAACTTACACCTTGTTCATCAAACCCTTTTCCCTCCTGGTAAAACGCGAGGCTTTTGCTAAACTTCCAGTTTGTTTCTGAATACACGCGCAAATTTCCAAAAATCCTATGAATATTCACCTCCGAATATCATATCCTCGGCCAACGAATTTTCCACCTTACGTATATTATGAATTTTTACGTAGTTTACGGGGTTCGTTGTAATTTAGTATTAGATAGAGGAATTAATTTTCATCCGTTAAATTTGCATTTCTTGATTTCAATTCATAATTTTACTTAGCGAGGAATTTGGTTAATCGTGTAATTCATTTTTGTGATTTTCTAGTAATATAAAATTTTGAATTTTATTTGTTAAGTAATACTTGTATTTTTGTAATTATGGTTTTCAGAATTCTATGAAGAATTTGAAAGTTTTTTTTCTAAAATTCGCATGTTTTTGAATTTAATGTACTCGTATATTTAAATTATTACTTTTATTGAGCGAATAATTTTGTTAATTTTGTTATCAATTTTTGTTGTTTACTGGTTAAGAATTTCAAAGGTGTCTTTAGAATTCGCGTGTTCTTGACATGTAGGTCTGTGCAATATTATTTATAATGGTGTCAATTATTTAAAGTTCGAGTAAAAAAGGATTGTGTTAAGAGTTCAGTAATATAAAAGAATTTTTGAAATTGAAGTCATTGCTTTTGATGAAAATAAATCTGGAATGAAAGTAAATAAATCGATCAGACTTTTTGACCTCAATTTTATATTGTAAGCATAATATTCGATACATTTTTCTGTTTTATTTTTCCAATATATCTCGTTTCATAGCATATTGAAAAAGGTACTAATTTTTCATGTGCACATCTCACTTGAAGATATTCTTTTGAAATAAGCAGAGTAAAAATAAAAATTTCTATTCATATATACAATTCCATCAAAGAACAAAAACTATCTGGATAAAAAAATTTCTATTAATTTTTATGGCACAAGTGAAAAATGCAACATTATTATCTAATTACAATGTAAGATCAGCTTCAACATTTTCTACAAATAGTTTTCCATTCTACCACTAGTTTCAGAACAGCTTTGTGCAAAGTTACTCGCGATTTTCATCCAGACCAACTAAATCCCGTCGTGTTTTTTAAACTGCCAGTTTCTACGAATATTTTTTCCCAGCTTCGTAACATGTAATTTTCAAATTTAAGCTTTATTTTCAGATATCATTGTAAACGTAAAACACGGCTCTTGAAAATAGTTCGAAAATTTTTGAATTTCAATGGCATTACAAAATTTTGTATTAAATATTTTCAATAAAATTCTAGAAAAAAAAATTCACTCCTCCATATATTTCTAACATTTTTTGAAACGTTGAAAATTAAGAGAAAACGTAACAGGAAACTAAGTTTTATCTTCTTTTACTTCTTTTTTCTAAACCGCTCAATTATAAATATAAACGTATGAATCAATTTTAAATATAAAACATTAAACAAGAATCCAAGTACTTTCGTGGTGTAATGAAATTTGTATTTTAGTGCTTTGACAGCAAGGAAAAATGAAATTAATCAATTCGGTATGTAGACTGTTCGATTATAAATACAGATGTATATTTCTATTTTGCAAATATTTTGTAAATATCGATGAGTATTTGAAAGGTATAAATTTTTAGAAAAATATTTCAGTTCATTTATTTTAATTATATTTTAAAGTTTATTCTTTTCTTAGATTTCATTCTTTAACAGACATACTTTGTATTTGTTTTTATACGTTTTTATACGTTGCTCAGTTATTTCATGCGATATACCTTTATGTCTACTATTTCTTTCCCTTTGAAGCAGTTCTGTACGAAGCTTCTTATCATTTACATTTTCTCAGGGACATTCATTGGAAAATGAACAATAGAAGTATTTCTTCATTTTCATAATCTCATATCTTCTGAATTATTTCTAATTCAGGCATGCATAAGTATACTCGATAATATTGTTGAATGTAATTATACAACAAGCAGAAGCGAATTGTTCCACCTAATTAATATTCAAGTTATAATCCATTACGTAGATCGATGTAAATTTATTGCTGGATTATTTAACTAACGATATATATTTATCCTTGAATTATGTATTATTTGAATGCATAGATGGTCGAATATGAAATGACGGGATTTAATTAAAAATTGAGTATTTCCTTCTAGTAAATGTGACATGATTAAAAGTAGAATTATGATCCTCCTGGATGTTCTCCGAATTCAAGGTAGCATTGTACTATAATAACATTATACTATACATTGTACTATAAATCGCAAATTAATATTACCATATTAAATTAATTTCATTAAAATTTCAGATACAAGTATTAAATTAATAAATACAATTTTAGTATTATAATGTATTCTTTAAAATACGATGCATTGATTTTAAAATTCTGAACAGGCTCGTTTCCTCGAAAAATAGACGAAACGATTTCAATATCGACATTTGTGTTAATTTCTACATTCAGTTTGAATTTAACATTTAATTGGGGTATTTATTAATAAGAAGAGCCATTCATTTGCTCGTTCCGCTTCATAGTCCTTTTGTAATGAAAAATCCAGGATTTATTATTGGCTCAGTGTCCAGCCGCATTTGCGTGTACACTCGAAGGTCGGAAATCGATATATGCAAAATATTTTGATGCTAACAGATTGAGAGGCGACGTTGCGTTCGATGGAAGATTTATAGAGCCGTTTCGAGCCATAGGTCAACTTTATTGAACTCTGTCCACTCTTCTCTGCACGAGTACCCGCTTCGGGATTTAGAGCAGATATCGCAGTATTACCAACAAAGTCTCCAGAACGCAATACAGTATCGATGTTCAAGGATTAAATATCCATTGTCTCAGTCTATACTGTGTAATTATGCGATTGAGTACGTTTTTTATATTGTCGATAGACGTCCTTTAATTTTTCTGAGAGAAATTAGTCTATTAACGCTAGCTTCAGTGAGATCTAGATTTGGAACCATTAGATCCTAGTTAGAACTGATTCCATAAGTTAATTATAGTGTTGTTTGAAATGAATATTTAAATAAATTTAGTAGCAAGTGAAAGTAATGTATAATATAATTAATAATAATATATTAGATTATGTATTATATTATTAGCAATAAATGAGTGAAATTAATATTCAACAACCATTTATTTTAAAATTCTCTTAACGGAGATGCTAATTCTAAAAATATAACTTTTCAAAATTATCAAAATTCAAATATATTGCAATATAATCTGAAAAATAATTTTCAAAATTACAATCTTCCCATAGAACTGCGACTGAAAATGTTCCTTTCCGCGTTATTTCTCCTCGACCGTATTCGAATCGAGTTTCATATTAATTCATTTCTCTTTTATAATTAAAACCAAATGAAATATTCGAGTATTCGTCTCCTGCTGCGACACTCTGCACAATATCTATTGATTTCTCGTCCAAAGAAATGCCCCAGAAAGTTGATTTGAAAAATATAATATGTAAAACATTTATTTAAAATCCACTTTGATTTATTTGCAAAATATTAATTCTGTATTAAAGTTTCTTCTATCGAACTCATGAATAAAAGTATGAATTTACGGGATAAGCAATGCGTTATGTGTTAATCGAATAGCGCGATATAAAACGAACGAAACGAACGTATGTAGGAACAAGTGACAATTTGTCGAGAATTTCCACTAATGAACAGGGAAACGTGTCAATTATTTCTCAAACGTTACGACCATCTACGTTGCTTTGTCCTGTTGTTCTCCGGCCACCCCATGTTTCTTAAGTTCCTTCATCATTACTCGAGAGAACACACGGCTCCAGGATGCATTTTTCATGGAGATAAACGAATTTAGGTTCCAACTGTGACAAAATGTATGATTGGTTTTTTGGTCATGGCGAAATGCAACATTTTCCCATTATCGTTCGTATTTAACGTCAATCTTAGCTCGGGCTCGTTGCTGAGAAATAAAAAATAGAAAAAAAGCGAGATAGAAGTGCAGCATTTCGTTTTTTCTTTCGTCTGTTTGTTACTGTTTCGAGAGAGAAAGGACCGGGAACTAGAATATGAAATGCAAGATGGATTGAAACGTTTAAAAAGACAATAAAGCTAGCAATTTCTCGAGAAACAATTGGAATATTTTAAGCTTTTTTCACGAGAAAACACGTACTGTATAAACTGTGATTTATTACGGGTATAATGCGAATTGCATTCTGGAATGAAATTTCTTCATTTTTTTCTTGTTTGAATTGCGTGATACTTGAATTATTTTTTAGATATTTGCAGTAATAGAATTGTAATTTGACAGTTTACTGCTCTTTTTGTATAATAAATGGCGATTTTATTGCAGGAAAATTGAGGCACAATTCGAGAAACGATATTTTTGAAGGGAATCAAGATATGCTCAAAGAGAGAGGTAAATATAATTCGTTCAAATATACTGTGGTTTACAACAAATGTAGGCTAAAGTAATTGCGACTACAAAATATGATAAATAAAAGTGAGTTTGTTGTGTAAAACATAATTTGTGTAAACCATAATTTAATCATAGTGTGTCTATTCATCCTGTGTAAATGAAACCAATATAATTCCACATATTTACTTATTGAAATTAAGAGACTGTAAGTATACATATAATATATTATAAACTCTTCAACAAATAATCTATATTTCATACAAAGTATGTAATTTTAATATATCAAGGTAATCTTAATTATCATGCGATTTCACTTATCCAAAATAAAACAGGTCATAATTTTCTGAAAAATAATTCACAAAGCATTCACTGCTATAATACCATCGCTAATAACCATATAAATAAACATAATTAAAATTACACGAGCGAATATTTACAAAATGTAATACCTTTTTATCAACATGAAACTTTAATACTGTAAATTATTTCTCAAATCTTTCATCTACTATTCCTCTTTTCTCCGAATCATATTTCACATAATTCCCGACATAGATTTATGAGCCCACGAATTTATGTTCACGAATAATTAATGCGAAATAATAAATTATATATACTAAAACTATAATCCAAAGTGGTAATAAAATAGTAAGTCAAAATGACGCAATAAGTAAATTAAAGTAGATTAAGAAATAACAACATAATAAAAGCATATAATATAATAAATAATAAATTAATAAGTCAAAATAGAATATAACACAAACCAACTAAATGTACTAACGTAAAATAATAAATTACACGGTAATTTAATCTCAAATAAATCTGCATAAATGATCTAAACTAAACCAATAAATATCAGAAAAGTAATAAAATGTCGAGGGAAAATAAAAGAATAAATCAAATAAATTAGCGAATTCAGCAAATAAGTAATAGAAATAAGTACAATTTATCATCGACTACTTTCATCAAATCTACTTAGCATCAAACCTCCCTTACATACCTCCTTACACAAAGCTACGTTTGCACATATCACTGAGAGTATCGCAATTTCCTCTTTTGCAGACCTGAAGTTACGAGGGCGCAAAGAAACCAGCGGAAACGAAGAGGACGATTACGACGATTCCGGTGCGACGACGAGCGTGAACTCTTTCAGCTTGATTCTCGCTTTGGTCACATTCATCGTTTACCTTCACCATCATCCGCAGTTAAGAACGCTGCATCCGGCTTGAAAATCGGCCCCCGCCATCTCAGCACATCATCATCGGATCCTCCTTACGATCGTGACCCACCAAAAATTTGTAAATCCATTTAGACATCTATCCCTCAGGGACTCCATACCGAGGATAGATTAATCATGTAACCGCGCTGACCACTCACACTTGTATGATAACACATTATTACCGCTATTATTCCTATTATTCTCGTCATTATTATTCTTGTCATTGCGTAACGACATTAGCCATCGTAAGTTAAACTGTAATTGCAGTAGACTAGCCGTTAGAACGCGAATGGAAATTCTTTCCTTCTCGCGAAGAACCTCTCTCTCCTCAGAGAGCAATAAGCAATCGAGAACACGAGAAGATCCCTTGCTGGAATTGAATTTATAGCCTATAATTTGTAGGTGTGCGCGTGTGTATAGCGCGCCCGAATCATACTCAATCGTAATCGATCATGATACTTGGAACTAGTCGATATCGAATTTAACTGAAGCTTTTACGTAGTCCCTTGTGTTGGGGATAGTAACACTGCGCTGATCGGTGGTTTTCAATCAAAATTAACCCTGATGATGAAAACAATTTTCTGTGTTTGTATACAACACGAAAACTTCCAAATGAACTTCAGTATAATTTATCTGAACTATGACGCTTTGTTGAAATGACACGTGAAATGAATTGTAAATTTAATACAGGGTTTCTCATCCTTTCTTGGCTTACGATCATCTTTGCCTATTTTCTTCATTTCTTCCGATAGTTTATATTTATAAAATATGCACCTAGACATTTGTGTCGTATTCTTGCTTATTCGTATAAATTAATTTATAAACACTTGGCATAAATATTTTTCCGCGGCCACGAAAATTTAGTGTCCCTAAATACAGTGTCTCTTAATGTCACAGGACCCTGAAATTAAGAAATTCTGGTTAACAAACTCGGTTTTAATATACCACGGTGTTAAAATTGCGACTGTTCCCGCATAATACGAGTTTCTGTAACAAGTACAACACGATTTGATTTAGATAACTTGAACAGTCTTTTGCACAGTCTTTTGCACAGTCTTTTGCACGATTGTATCCTTTATATTATTGTGTTGATTTTACAACGCATTTTATTTACGACACGAGACGAATAATCGTGTTATAAGGGGGTTAATTATAGTGATATACTCGTGACCCGGTCAGTAAAGTGTTGAGTGTATTTCGTGTTTAATTCCAGTCCCATAATTTAGTGTTTTTAATATAAGGTTTAGACGTGGTAGTTGTTTATTTATAATATCTCGATCTTTTCTTTTATCAATCAATATCATATTAATTTATACTAGATTAATCAATTAATGATTGTGTGCTATATAATACCATTGACACGATATTAATGTAATATCGATTTATTTCGTGCGAGATGTTTAGAGTTCACCCTCGAGTATTTTATTACCCACGGTTAGCCAGAAATTGTTAGTATTTATTCTACTATACTTTTCACGGTGCAGACGAATATTATGAGTGATGCATAATGGGAGAATGAAGATAATAATAAAATAATAAGGAATGTACGAAATCTCGTAGATTTTCTCGCAGAGTATGTCCAGAGGAAAGCTTACGTTTGAAATATGTAAATTATGTCTGAACTTTTTATCAGAGTCATAGGATAGTAAAATCTCACGTAAACACCATAGCCAAATTTTCTGTAAAACTGAAGAAAAAAGAAAGATGTCAAATCATTCCAACTTTATTTCCACTTATAAATAAATCGACGGTACATAGTTGGTGTTAGCGAGCAAACTTTAATTTCCGTGACTTAACGTTAAAGTAAAATTAAAAGCTACATAATGCTATGTAATTAATACAAATGTACAGCTACTTTTCATCGCGAGACACTGTGTCAGTTATAAATGATCGAATTGTTTCTCATCACTTTCATTCCACGAGAGAAATCGTTGAGGTATAGAGAGATCTAGTTAGAATTGATTTCGCGATTACATAATAGCGAGCGCTTGATAAATAGCACCAACAGCCTCGGTGGAAGCCTCCAGTGATTCGTATTCGTACCAAGGAGAATGTTTATCGAAGGAAACGACTATCGATATGCATTCCTGTACATATACATATATGCTCGATATATGTATATTGTACATGATTATATATAAAGTGGCATAATACTGCCCCTGTATTTGTATAGGATATCGTGTATGTGTATATAATATAACTATACATAGAACGTTAGATATAGTATTATCCAAAGACTGAGAGCATCGTCTTGGTGCTCTTGAACTGCATTAAATAATAACGGATGGTGGCTGAAACTGAATATATACCGTGATATATATAGGCCATGGCATGTAGAATCCCACTATGAAATAGAGCGCAGCAAAAATTGTATGGCGTTTCAATTAGGAAGATTCCTCGTTGGAGGATGTGCTGATTTAGAGAGTGGAGAAATTAATATTCTTGAACTCACCAATCTAGAAGATTTAGAATATTTCAAAATGATTGTCATTAAGCTTTTTCCATAACTAAAAGTATAGTTTAATACTTCACATGTTCCCTGACACATGTCCCATGGTAAGCTTTCTATTTAAATTACGTACCTTTATTATTAAAATATTTTATAAATTACAAGTTAATATAAGTGATTCTTTTATTCCGTATTTAATTTTAATTTAATTACATAAAACCATGCGTATACACGAAGATGTATACGTAAACCCAAACATCACGAAATTATAAAAATTGGAGCCAGCGGAAGGCATGTCAAATTATTGATAAGTGCAAAACAAAAAATTCCTTTCCCCGTTCCTTTGAAGAAATTGTTCAGTTCGTAATTAATCGAAATTAATTAATTCTTAAGTTCTTCACGTTCTAGATCAGAATCATCCCCCAACTTGATAATTGGTGATCGAAGAGTATGAAAATAAGTCATAGAAAAATAAAATTCTTCGTTCCTATTGAAAATTTCTGCATATCATTTAAAATCTGATGCAGATTCAAACGATTTCAAAGATATATCTATGTAAGTACGTTAAACTTTTGTAATGACGTTTCTGTCGAGGAACATCTAGAAATCGCAAATGACAAGGAAGCCATTAACTTTACTATATAGTCTATAAATGTAATTTGAGTCGAGTGTAAATTGAAACTTGTAGACATAATTAAACGATACGTTAAGATAGAGATTTTATTAAAATGTACGAAAAAGGAAAAAAAAAAAACGTGTGAAGCTTATAGGCTTTAGAAATAAAACACATTTTAATATACAGATTATAGATGTACAATACGTTGAAATTGAATGCACATATCGGTATAATGATTACGTTACTGCATGAATACTCGAAGTAGTTTTTGCATTCTCGGTTTACGTATGAATTAAAAAGATACTTAACAAACGTTTCATAAATTAATACCAATGTATTGTACATCGACTCAGGTTTCTCTTGACGATCTGTGAATGTTAATGCATTTCTCATACTGTAAATATCGCAAAATATGACAAAATACGTCGCCAGGGAATCGTGAAATCAGAAAAGTATTGATTTCTCATTTATTGAAAGGTGTAAAATGTTTCAGCAATAGTAACGATTATTTTTTTAGTCAATAAGTGTTACGAGTCACGTTTAAAAAATTGATCAAACTGCACTTGCGCTAATTTATTTATTATTGACATACTTCGCCACGAGGTAAGGATCGAAAGCTTCTTAGAATGTCGAAAGTACCTTTTTTAGCAAAGTACACCTTTCTTATCTCCTACTTTGAGCTGGAACACCTTGCATAAATAAATTACAAAGCGGAGTTCGAGCTTTGTGTCTTTACCTACTTACCTGAATGTATAATAAAACTTCGAAGCTTGTCTGCAAAGAAATACACCGTGAATCGAACGCGTTAACGAGCTACGAAAAATCGAAGATCGATTCATTTTTTTGCCATTCAGGTTACTTTATTTTACTCCAATTTATTCTAATTTATGGATATCTAATAATGTAAGTGAATACGAAAATCCTAGAGAAATCGATCGATGTTCTTCTCATAAATGTACTTGCGGTTTTATTTGCGAATTAATTTGATAGAATTAACATCGAAATAAATTTCCTGTTCTAAACGAAAAAAGTTTCTTATGAAAATTTAACTGAATGTCAATTGAAACTGAATAATTTGGCAGTTGAGAGGAGTTTAATTTAATTCCTGATCTCTCGAAATTCGAATTCGAAAGTTTGTAACGTTTCGGAACTTTTGAAACTCGAGGTGACGATTTTAATTTGAGAGCCGAGTAGAAATATTTTGTTTCAAAAATGCAATTATATAATTATATATTATGTTGTCGAATTCAGATTAGGCGGGTGTGAAATTTCGAATTTCGTGATATTTTAAATTATTGTAAATTCTGTAAACTCGAAATTTACTCGGGTTTCGAAGCTTTTCAAATCACAAAGGAAGAGCAAAGTTGTTAATTTCATAAGCCCGAAAATTTCTTAAATTTGGAAAGTTTTCGAATTAGAAAGGAAGAGCAAAGTTTTCAATTTTATAAACTCGAAAATTACTTGGATTTCAATTATCTTCAAATCGCAAAAGAAAATGAAACAAATTACGAATTATCGAGACTCAAATTTTCGGATCTCGAAGTAAGTCTACGTTTGTACGTTTCGTGTATAAGTTTGTCATCCTCCGCGAGGAAGGTCTTCACGAATCAAATCAATAATCCTCTAGCTTTCGATGCACCCAGTCGTAAACGAAACATCACTCCTTTTGAATATCCTGAGAGGAACGAAGCTGATTATACGATTCTAGTCCATGATGTGAGAAGTCGTAACACGCAATCGCGAGGATAGAAGGATTACTGGTAATGTTGCAGACATAGCAATATTCCGCTTTGAGATCGTTCGAACATCCATTTCGTGGCGATCGTAAAAACGGTCCGTGGGAAACGAATTTCGAATCATTTTATTATCCAACGACCTGAAACATATCCGAGGCCATGAATGGTCTTATGGAAATCCTTATCGTTCGTTCAATGAATTCTAAAGAAAGGAATTATCCCACAGACTCTCGGAGATTTGCAGTAATGTAAAATCTCATGAATATACCGTGCATGTTACTCTATGATTCTTTTAACTATTGCAATTGGTTATATGGTATTTTATTTTGGCTTAATTGTGGCATTGAATCATTATTAGGATACCATTAATTAATATA